CCCTCCGCCACCGGAGGGACAGCGGTTTGCTTTTCTCCTTCCCCATGGCACCTCATCAAGACTCCAGTTCTGTTGCTTCCAACTCTGGGCCTTCCACAAACTTCCACAAAGAAGAAACCTATTTACTTGGTTCCTCGAGCACTCATTCTCTTTAGCCACAGCTGAGAAAGTGCAGGGCTGGGGACAAACCACAGAGACTTCCCCGCATACTTGCCAGGGAAGTCTCCGCTCACAGGAAAAACATCTGGATCCACCGAGAGCTCTTCTGAGAGCCCCCTTTTTGTTCCTCAGCCCCTCTGGGAGCCCCTGTCACTCCCCCTCCCTGGGAAACCCCCCTGTACTTCTCCAGGAGGCCCAGCCAGGCTCATTTCCATGGCCAGGGGACTGCAAAGTGCCTCCCAGCACGTCCGGTGGTGCCTGTGTCCTAGGCTTGCTTGTCATGACCTTTTTTGAGCCTCTTCTGCTGGACTGGGAGCCACTGAGGGCCAGAGTGTGTTCTCATCTCAGTGTCCCTGACCTACAGCCTAACACCTGACCCCGCCACTGATGTCAGCGCTGTGTTTATGGACTCCAAGAACCCATACTAGTGACCTGGCGTGTTGTACCAGTAGGTGTCAAAGATTGGAGTCTGCTCCAAAAGACCCTAAGAGTCTCTAGTCGTACTGGGGCTTGTCACCTTAACTTCCGCACATACAAAGTAAGCAAGCAAAAAAAAAAAAAAAAAAAAAAGAACAAAAAAACCCCTTCCTTATCTTTAAAGTCTACAGGCAGAGATCATTGGGACTGCATTTATTATTTATTTTCTAGTATTTCATAGAGGATATCTTAGGAGTCAAGCAATCCTGAAAACACACCAGATGCTTAAAATTCCCAGATGACATCACAAGGTAGGGCTTCACATGAAACATGCACATTTGAGGGCATTAAGCATTTACTGGCAGGAACTTATCTGTAGTTTCACTTTCCATCACTTTACACCTGACCCAACAGGGAATGCGCAGAAGCTACATTACACTTGACATGTTGGGGCTCTCAGCAATCGTGTTTTTTTTATTTATTTATTTATTTATTTATTTATTTATTTATAGATTTTCTTTATATATTTGACAGAGAGAGAGAGAGAGAGAGGATGCACAGGCGGGGGAGCGGCAGAGGGAGAGGGAGAAGCAGGCTCCCCAAGGAGCAGTAAGTGCAAAGTTGGGACTCCATCCCAGGACCCTGGATCGAGACCTGAGCTGAAGACAGACCCTTAACCGACTGAGCCCCCCAGGTGCCCCAGCAGTCGTGTTTTATTGCCCGGCGAAGGGAAAGAGTTCTGAACCCTAGCTAATCCACGGGACCAAAGAGGGCTCTGAGCAAGTCTGACCACCTCCACCACAGTTTTGTGACTGAGCACTCTGGAAAATGCCATGGCGAGACTCTGCTCTGGTCTAGGCTCCCGGAGAGGCAGGCAAGCCTTGCTGACTTCTCCAGGCCCGAACGCCGTTATTTTCCTGCGTGTCAGCTTCCCGTGTGCACAGTCAACACTGCGGAACAGGTGGTATTCCCCCGCATCCCAGATGGGAAGCGCCTTGCCCAAGGAAGCTGGGGCTCCCGGCTAGCACAGTCTGCTCCCAAGCCCAGTATTTCAGACACCTTGCGGCCTAACCTCCAATTACATCAGTTAATGAGCTCGCTTCTGACCCTGCACTGTGTTTCTAAAAGTTTCTCACGCATCCATCTCATGTATGGGAGTCAAGCAAGGCCCATGTGAAATCTCCAGGTTTTGAGACATTACAGAACAAGATACCCACTAAAACTGTGGTTATTTAAAGTGGATAAGAGGAGGCCGGAGGGGAAGAAAGGAAGGACCCTGCGACCTGGCAGGTATCACGGCATCTTAAGGCTCTAGCACAATCCTACCTCCCTGTCCTTGACTAAGCTGTTTCTTTTGCCCCCAAATGCCCTTTTGTCCCTTCCCACCATCCTTAGGAGCCCAGCTCAACTGTTCCCTCTTCAGCGCAGTCTTCCCCAACCCAGCGTGGCCTCCTGTTCTGCTCCCAGAGTTCCTCCCCCTCCCCAAGTGCTCCAGCGCCAAGGGCAGGGATGTCCAGACTGCTTGCCCTGGGCACCTCTCTGCCCCAGGACCACAAGGGTCTTGAGGGAAGGACTGTGAGCAGTGACGAGATACTGTTCCCAGATCTGGAAGCCTGCCAAACTACTTCCCCTAATTCATGCCACCCCTTCTATGCATTACAGTATATAACACAACTGAGACCTGTACTGTGGGGGCAGTCGAGAATTTGGGGGGATCTCCTGGGCACTTAGTTTAAGGGGTGAAATTCTGAAATCAAGGGATGTTTCCAAACCATCCTGGCCTACCTTCCTTTCTTTCTCTTCTCTCAGACAGGAACTGGAGAGATCTCTAAAGGCACATATTCCTTTTTAATCTTTGGAGAGGACGTAAGTGATAACCTATATTCCCTTCACCTCCTTCATCCTGGAGTAGGAAGACTAACACAATTTGGAGGTTCATGCTCCCTCTTCCTGTCGCCCACTGGCGCAGGGTGGGGGTGTACATGCATGTCCACATGAGGTCACCCATGCTAAGGTGCCAGAGCACATGGGTCCACACAGGAGGTGTGCAAGGAAGACCCCACACGGCAGGACGAAACAGCTCTCTTCAGAAAGGCCTGCTTGCAAGGTGGGTCCTTGGCTGGCATCTGGGAACTTGGATTTCAGAAGGGTTTCCATCATTCCCTGGGGGAATAAGAGTGACTCACTACGCCCAAACTATTTGCTTTAGCAATATAATTTATGCTCAACACCTGCTTTCCTCCTAGGAGTCTGGAATTTTGGTACGTGGCAGGCAGAGGGCGCCTATGTGGTCAGCCCCCAATAAAAACCTTGGTCACCGAGTCTCAAACGAGCTTCCCTCGTAGATGACACTTCATGCCCATTGTCACAACTCCTGGCTGGGGGGACAAGCACATCCTGTGCGACTCCACTAGGAGAAGACAGGAACCGTCTGCCTGGTTTCCTCTAGATTTTGCCCCATGCACCTTTCTCTTTGCTGATCTTGCTCTGTGCCCTTCCATTGTAATAAATCATAGCTATGAGTCCTCCCAGTAAATCATCAAACCTAGGAGAGGTCTTAAGGACCTTAACATAGGGAGTTTCAATGGGGGACAGGGGATGACTCAAGAGCCAAGAAGCCTTGGGCTTATAAAAGAAGACAGGCAGTCACGGGACCTCTAAGGAATGGCATCTCTCCATAAGGGTCAGTAGGATGGGACTCGGGATGATGGGGTGCACTGGGAAGGACACCGTGTGAAATGTTACACACAAGAAAAGGGAACTGAAGCTACATAACCCTTTGTCAACATTCACCTCTCTGTCCTGGGTTGAAGGTGTTACTACTGCCAGATATCATAAATTCACAAGAATTTTCTGAGATTATTTGCAAGTCAATGTCCTTAGTAGTGGAGTCATCCCAGCACCCAGAGAAGCCACGATGTTTACATGGAGAGAGGTGGCTCTGCTCTCAGCAGCACAGGCCTAGCAAAATGTGCATCCTTGAAAAATGGAGGTGAAGTGACAGAAATACTAAGTAGACATCACATGCGTGCCAAGTGCCCTCTCTCTTTTTCTTTCACTTTATGATTTATGTGGTTTTGAAAATTAAGAAACATAGTAGTCAATGGGAGGAGGCGTTCTACATTTGAGATGAATTCATCTCATTTACTTTTTTAAAGATTTTAATTTTAAAAATTTTTAAGAGAGAAAGAGAGAGAATCCTAAGCAGACTCCAGGTCCAGTGCGGAGCCCATCTCGAAGTCACGAGGCTTGAACCCTTGACCCCGAGATCGTGACCCTAAGATCACGACCCGAGCCGAAATCAAGAGTCAGATGCTTAGCCAAATGAGCCCCCACAAGTGCCTCTGAATCTTGAGGATCCTTAAAAGGAGAGTAATGATTTCAAGAACTGGGTCCATGTATGATCACGGACACAAGTATTTCTTTCTGATTTATAAAGCCCTATCTTAACATCACCTCCTTTGAGCCTCCTAAGGATTCTACAAGACAGATAGTACGACTTCTCTTTCATCTTCCATGGCACCTTGGCCTGTTGCAAGACAAGCGGTGGTGCTTAATTAAGACTTAATGGTTGACTGGTTTGTAATGGCTTTAGAAAAATTACTGCTTTACAAAAATTAATAATTCCTGAAGTCTGTCAGTGGAAGAACACGCTAAAAAGCCAGGCATTCAAAGGAATTATTAAAATCACAAATTAAGTCATTTCTATGGGCTCTATAGCAGGAAATATATTTTTAATGAGGAAATTGAAGCTAATATGTAACAGCTGCCCTGTTGCCCAGTAACAGAATATTAAAGCAGATTAAATTATTAATGAAAAATGTAGCAACTTGGAAATTTAACCTTTGAACATTCTCTTATTCTTTTCTCCTTGAGATATACTCTTTAAACTGACATATTTTTTGAAAAACCACTTTTGGTCATCTTACGTAGTTTCCATTTATAATTTGCTTTGCTACTGATCAGCTATGGAATCTTCAGCAAGTTACTCAGTCTCAGACTTTTTCATCATACAATACGCAAAGTCCTCACGCCTGGAATGGCAGGACACTGACTGGAACCTACGGATGCTGGTCAAACCTCCCCCAACTCCCACGTCTTGGGCACCACCACCTTCGGCCGTAAAGTAACCAAACTGCACTTGCCCCACTGACCTGTGCACAAATAAATATTGTTGACAGGAAGTCCCTGAGGATGGGGGGTTGTGTGATACGCAGCAACAGCGACTGTCAAGAAGTCTGAAGTCACAACCTTATGAAAAGGGGAAGTGTCCGTGGAGAACTCATGGAGAGAGGAGAGAGGGAGAGAACATGCAGGGGTGCATTAACAGGGCCTCAAGGACCGGGCCCTCACCGTTCCACGTGATGGCAAAGAGGAAAGCGGGGCAGAAGCGGGCCTGGCCCAGAGCGGCAGTGTGTACTCACGTTGGTGTTACACAGCTTGTACTGTCGGTAGGCCCCGATGCAGGAGATGGCTGCAGACCGGGCGGGCTGTGAGGAGCTCTGCGCTGCCCTGGGGGCCCCCGGGTCGTGGCTGCTGCCGCTTTCCAGGCCGTGGAAGAGACTGGAAGCTGCGGGGAAGCCTGGGTCATGGGTCAACGGCAGCTGGTAGACGGAGGCCTCGGAGGTCTGCAGTCCAGAACGGGGGCCCCCGTCACTCTGGTACAGAGACCCGTGCTGGGGACCCCGGTGGGCTGGCAGGCTGTAGCCATGGCTGGGACCCGATGCCCCCTGCGACCTGGAAGGCCTCTGCCTCCGAAGCCTCTGCGGCGAGTGTGCCGAGTCCGTCTGCAGTGGCAGGATGTACGGGGCCTTACCGTAGCCATACTTGCCAGGGCCGATAGGGCCGCGGGTCCTGCTCCTGAAGAAAGACACACAAACAGAGATGAAAGGAGTCACAGCGTGTTCCCCATTAACCCCGACGCTGTGGTCACAACGGAGGGGACTGAGTAGGGATGGAAACTCTGGGAGAGAGCCTGTGGCAGACCAGGGAGGTGGAGGGCGGGCCTCCCAGGAGAAGGGGACATCATGGAAGCCGGCGCAGAGACGCTCCACGGAGGCTGGAAAGTCGAATGAAGGTGGGCGATGTGAGTGGTGGAAAACGAGGTTGGAACTGTACGCTGTGGTCAGCATGTGACTGATGGCGGGCCCTAGGGCCTGCTGGCAAGCTGTTGGGAGCCACTGGGGTTTTTTGAGAAGTATAAGGATGTAATTGTAATTTCGGCCACGGTAACTTCCTGTTCATTTGTTTTCTCTGAAAATAATCTGTGGGGTTTTTTTTTTTTCTCGCTCAACGGTGCCTGAGACTTCAGGCTGGTTTCCATTACCATTCATGCCCAAATAGCTTTTCCAGGTAAGTGGAATTTAGCTAAGCGACCACACCCGAACGCGGCCCTGAGGCCTGACTTGCACTGGGTCACACTTAATCGCTGAAGAAACCAGAGGAGGTGCAACGGTGGCTCTCCATCACTCTTGAGGCAACCCAAGCCGAACGGTGGGGGAACCGGCATCTTCGTGTTGGCATCATCTTTAGACTTTGTCAAGACCTGTTGCCTTGTGAGGCCTTAGAAAAAATCACGTAAACTCTTCTGTGCTGGTGCATGTTATGGCTGGGAGAAAGCCCTGGTTTGTGGTATTTATCTACATCCAGGATATAATCGTTTCTGCCACGGCCGATCTCAAGCCACCATCATGAAGACGCAATGAGCTCTGGTGAATGGGACAGAACGGCTGTAGCACACCACACTGCATGTCAATTTATTGGGCGACTACTGTTTACAAAACCGAGAGCTAGGAATGGTCAAGAACATAAAAGTGACTCAGATACGGTTCCCAAGTCTCCAGCCTTACCACAGAAAGCAGCCAGGACATAACGCAAGGTGAGGTAAGGGCCTTGAGAGCAGCTACACACGGGAATGTGGGAATTCTGAGGCTAGAGGAAACATTTCTGTCTGCAGGGATGTGAGAAGTGTTTCACCCTCACTGGCCCAAGTTGGCGAGCAAGGTTCCAATACTGTGGAAGGACCTGAAGAAATCGTTTCTTACTTCTTTGGAAAATGTCTGAGCTAGATCTAATGACCACGAAGGTCATTCCAGCTCTAAAATTATATGCTTCCATAATAATTAATTCTACATTTATGTAAAATTGGAAATGTGCCCAAGGGTTTTCTACAGGATGGCTCCATTAAAATAAGCACATTAAAACAGCAATCAAGGTGAAACATTAATTTCTGTCCTCATGAGGAAATTCTTTCTTCACCCTATGTAACCACTGAATATAAAATTTAACAGACCACAACTAATTATTAACATCTTTATCACTAATTGCACCTTCATTCTTAGCTGATACGGTTTTGAATTAAACTGTGCTACAGTGTTTATTTTGCCTTGAAGCACTTCTCGATTAATCTTGGCAACACTTGGGACTCTGTTAATGAGGGGCGATCCAGCGTGCTGCTTTCAGAGATGCAATTAAGAAGTTAGTCTTAAAAATATATATAACTTGTATGTAATTTGCCTTTTTCTTTCTTGTGGCAGGCCAGGTAAAATGAATGACATCATGTACAGGTGAGGGAAAGAATTTCTTTAAGTGTGTGTGTGTGTGTGTGTGTGTGTGTGTGTGTGTGTCTTTTCCTTTTAAGATCTGAAAACCTACCAAGAATTCCAGCCTCCAGCTGGGTGGAGATGCCCGCTGAAGGTAAGAGAGAAATGAGAACACGTGCAGCAGGGCTTCTCAAACTTGGATGTGCCCAGCAATCAGCTAGGCATCTTGTTGGAGGCAGATCCTGACTCAGCTGGTCTGGGGTGGAGCCTGAGACTCTGCATTTCCAGCAAGCCCCCAGCTTTTAAGGAACTGAAATTCTAAACCAAAGGGTGAGAACCCAACCATAAAAGTGATCTTTTTTTTTAAGGACTTACTGATTGATTTGAGAGAGCGAGAGTGCAAGAGCAGAGGGGAGGGGCAGAGAGAGAGAGAGAGAGAGGGAGAGAGCAACTCAAGCAGACTCCCGGGGAGGGGCTCGATCTCATGACCCTAAGATCATGACCTGCGCTGAAACGAAGAGTCAGACCCCCTTAACCGACTGCAGCACCCAGGCGCCCCAAGAATGATCATGTTTAATGGACAACAACAGCTATAAAATTTTCTTCTGGCATAATAGAAATCTGCTGGCCCAGGCCAGGACGCACCACTACAGCTCACCTACCGAGAGCTCCTGAACTGGGACTGACTCGATCCTGCTCTTGGGGAACAGAGGCAGCAGATGGAGAACCTACTGATGACCTGAACAAGCCTCTTTCCAAAGGCCGCCTGTCTCCCAGAGCAGGTGACCCACGCATGTGCTGACGGACATGTTTGTACCCACGTTGCCTTCCAGGAGCCTCAGCTGAAACTGGAGAACCATGCAAAACCCCCACGAACAGCAGCACCCCTGGAGACACGATGTTTCAGAAATGAACGAGCAGCTGACTGGGATGAGCAAGCCAATAAGAATGAGCAGCCCATCTGGCCCCGCGGGGCCAGATCCTACACCAAGTATGCCCTTTCCAGAGCTTCCAAGACCATGTAGCACACCCACAGATCCAGCTGCTGCTGGTCCTTTAGGTCCCTGGGGACCCAGGTCTTCTGGCCCTTGGGAACCTGGAATGGGAGGACAATACCCTACCCCTCATATGGCATATCCATCTCCAGGCCCATATTCCGCGGCCCACCCCCAAGCACCAGAGGCAGTGCCACCTGTTCCATGGGGCACTGTTCCACCAGGAACCTGGGGTCCAACAGCACCATACCCTGCCCCTGCAGGATCATATCCCACACCAGGACTCTATCCCACTCCCAGCAATCCCTTTCAAGTGCCTTCAGGACCTTCTGGTGCCCCACCGATGCCTGGTGGCCTCCATTCTTACCATTAAGTTAAGAGACGAAGAGATGACACTTTGTTTTTTTATGAAGTACATATATATGTACACACATGCATGCATATGTGAAAATTGCTGGTTTCACTATTGTTAGAGGCCATTCATGAAAGAACAACTCTTGCACCTCTCAGAGAAGACATCTGCCTCTTGTACTTGGATGTATAGTACATCTGATGGATGCAATCAGATAAAAATGTAAAAAAAAAAAAAAAAAAAAGAATGAGCAGCCGGTTGGGGTGTGACTGTGAGGGATGGGATTTCTGTACCCGTGAGTTGGGATGCTGCAGCGAGGGGCAGACCCCTCCCGCCTGGCCAAGATAGCATGTGTCTTCCTTACAGCGGGCAGAGCTCCTCATCGTGACAGTTCAGGATGGCCCCTTCCCTGCCAGGACAGAGTCCATCTGGACGCGTGCAGGGTGGTCGCTGCGAGCTAGGCAGATTTATGCAGCGCTGGGGTAACAAGCACAGATGTGGCCAAGGCAAACTGTGTGGCCAGTTAACCCTTCCAGGGGACATGCAGTGGGTACCTGGGAAGCTGTGGGCTCAGTTAGCTCTGTTTGGTCTCTCCATAACCCATCTCTGCAACTTTACTTTGCAATCCTCACTTGACAAATTTTGGAAATGTAGGTCTTGAGAAAGAAACAGAAAAAAGCCCAGTTTGGATATCAGGGGCCTAGGTGTGAGCACAGCATAGAGGTTAGTGACATGAGCTCTGAAGCCAGGTTCCTGGGTTGGAATCCCAGGTCTGCCACTTGCTAACTTACGCAGCTTTGGGCAAGTTACTCCATCTTTTGATGCTTCCACTTCTTCCCACGGGGCCAGAGCTAGGATGAGGCCATGAAGGCACACAGGATACAGCACTGAGGGGCCGTGCAGGTGCTGGTAGCATCTCAGAGTGCTGTCTCCTTAAATGTTGTGCCCAAGGGCCCCCGCTCTAGGCCCAGTCCTGTCCTGTATGCATTTACAAACAAAGATGAGGACAGTACCTTCCTTACAGGCTGCTGTAAAGAATAAACAGTAAAAGCAGAAGAGTTAAATAATGCCTAGCACAGAGCACGCAGGATGTAAGTATTTCCTTTAAAACATAAAGTTGTAGGGGCGCCTGGGTGGCTCAGTGAGTTAAAGCCTCTGCCTTCGGCTCAGGTCATGATCCCAGAGTCCTGGGATCGAGCCCCGCATTGGCTCCCTGCTCGACAGGGAGCCTGCTACCCCCTCTCTCTCTGCCTGCCTCTCTGTCTACTTGTAATCTCTGTCTGTCAAATAAATAAATAAAATCTTTAAAAAAATAAAATAAAGTTGTAACTTCACCACTTACTAGCTCTCTGAACTGTGGCGGACAACGCACCATCTGTTTTCTTACCTATAAAAGGAGAGCACACCCCCTTGGAGGGCTGTGATAAAGGGGACAGGTAACAGCAAGTGTTGGAGACGATGCAGAGAAACTGGAGCCCTCGAATGTTCCTGGAGGGAATGTAAAATGGGGCAGTCACTTTGGAAAGCTATCTGGATGTTCCTCAGTGAGGGCAAATGTAGTGTCACCATACGGCCCAGCAATTCCAATCTTAGCTATTTACCCAAGAGAAATGAAAACCTACGTCCACACAAAAACTCGTACGTGTATGTGCGTAACTGCTTTCATCACAACAGCTAGGAGACAGAAACGACTCATGTCCATCAAGCGATGAGTGGGCGAACAAAACACAGTATATCCAAAGAATGGGTTATTATTCAGCCATAAAAGAGATGGAGTACTGAGGTAGGCTACAACAGAGATGAACCTCAAAAACATTCTAAGTGAATGAGGCCAAGCAAAAAAGGCCGCATATCCTACTGATATGCACTACCCAGGAGAGACAAATCCACAGAGAAAGAAAGTAGGTGACACAATAGCCAAACTATGGAGAAAGCCCAAATGCCCGACTGATGAATGAATAAAGTGGTAAG